TCTATGGTGCCGACAGAGAGTGGGCATACTGGTTATACTGTGGTTACATTGCAGAAACGTTGCAATCTTGCAGAGACATTGCAGGGATATAAAATTGCAAACTTTCGATAGCAATGTTGTAGCAATGTTTTAAAAATAATAAAAATACTATATTTTCTATTTAAAAAAATTTTCGAATTACGAGAATTTTATAATGTTATTTTCGTTGATACCAATAATGCGCGAATTATTAAGTACTTGATCAGTGCGGTGTTGCTCGCAATCTCCATCTATTGCGAAGCGACATAATCTCCTTAGGTTGCTTCGCAATAGCTTGCTGTGTATTGAAAAAGGCCCGGATGCAAATGTAATTAGTAAATTCCCTGCTTATGTACAACAAATTATTCCAAAAATATTGCACTGCAACATTGCTATAATGTTGCACTGCAATCTCTTTGAGGGCGGACATTTCAACGTTGCTGCAATCCTCCAGAAACGTTGCAGCAATGTTGCGCAACGTTGCTACAATATTGCAATCTTGCAATGGCTACGTTCAGCAGAAAAAGCTGCTTTGCAACTGTTGCAAAATGCATGAAATCTGATTGGCGTATGCACTTAAATTCACTCAAGAGTAAGAGATCACACCAATCAGATTCACGAATTTTACAACAGTTGCAATTAAAGCAGCTTTTTCTGCTGAACGCAGCCAATGTAACATTTCTGCAATCTTTCTGTGCTGTGCGGGTAGGGTTACGAGATAGATTTCTAATATGAGATAGCAGGTTTTCAACTCAACACGAATCTTTTTTCGCAACAATTAAACAACAATGTAACAATGAATTCTCCACTAAACAGATTTCGCCCCCCAAGGGCAATACATTCATAGTAGAATCACCCGCTATCCCATATTAGGACCCTATCGCATAATAGGGGACCTTCCTCTATCGAATTCGACCGAGGGATAAATCGCTGACCAAAATCACATACACCAATGCCTACTAATCCCAGTGGGCATTACTTTATCTTATTATATTTATCTTGTTTTATCTTTATAATGCCCCAGCAAAGCCTAATGCCCAAACTAATGTCGAAAAAACGCCTGGTGAGCAGTAAATCTGTACACCGCAATGCCCTCAACGGTTTGCCCCTCGAATTCGACAAGACTGTCACCGCGTACGACAATTTACAAAATAGAATACGAACTTACAGGTTTTTTTTATATTTTTCTTGCTTGAAATGTTCAACTCTGTTAGGGGATTATTTGACGCACTTTTTTTATTTGGACTTTTGCTTCCAATTCAAGAGAGTTATATGGCATATACACATCTAGATTTTTCACTCTGGCATATAAAAGAATATTAAATCATTTTTCCTGGCTTCGCGATAAAGTCAATATACTTACACTCTAACCGCGTTATTAAATCCCTCCTCTCCTAGCCAGTTCCATACAATATACACACAATCCGGCCTACTTGCGCTAACCTTATCCAAACGGGAATTTAAATCGTCATTTGATGCACCTTTTTTTTGGTTACGTTCCGAAGTCTCGGAGCAATAAACGCCTTCACCCTCAGATCATACAACACATCACACATTTCACGCACCGTGCTAATTGTAGGTTAGAATCGTGGCGACAGTGCGCACGCGCGAACCAGTGCCGGAATTTCAAAATGGTTATAGACGCTTTTAGTTCTACATTCTAACTCACTCGACAAGATTATAATAGAACACTCGAGTTCAGCATTCGGCGACTCACGTCTTGTACCAAGCGCTAGGAATGATTCGGAAGGTAGTAAGATTGAAGAGAAACAAAAAATACTTTAATATATATCTCCGATAAAACAGAACATCCACTAAAAATAACTGGATAATATAACGAACTTTTTTTTTAATAATCTTCAGCTCACTTGTTAGATATCGACTACAAAATGACTAATCGGTCACGTTGTTGTTACAATTACACATTGCTCAGGATTCACGATTAATACTACGCTCGCTGAAAACTTATTGTTACAGTATGCCGCGTGTGCGCTCATCAGCTCTGCATTGCAAACGTTACGGATAAAATTAAAATTAATAATACATTTAATGCCGTGCGTTTAAGTAACATTATGCGGATCGTGTATCGTCAGAGGGCGATTACGCTTTCTCGTCCCGCCCCTACGCCGATCCATTTGACTGTAACCAAAATAAAGTACTCTTACATCGAATTCTTTCGTGCACTCGATGTATGTTCACTAATGTACTATAGCGAATGAGAAACGTACCTGGCACATCTAGGTTTTCCTCTATAATTTGTATGTACTTGTGTGCATTGGGCGGCAATTTATCTAGGGAACGCACACCCTCGGTATTGGATTGCCAACCCTCGACCGTTTTATACACCGCCTCGATCTTTGTCAATTCCGAAGTACTGCTCGGAAAATAATCTATGTCCTTCCCGTTTAATCGATATCCAACGCATACTTTTATCTCCGGCAAAGTATCCAAGATATCAAGTTTCGTTAAGCATATAGAGGTGTACCTAGAATAAAAGACAACAACGTAAGTAAAAACGACATATTACGATATACAGAGAGGAGAGTCGCCTATTATGAGATAGCGGGTCCCCTAATATGGGACAGCGGGATTTCTGGTTAAATTAACAGACGTCGTCAGTTGATTCCACTATAAGTGTATTTGCCCTTGGAGTGAAATCTGCTTAGTGGAAAATTCATTGTTAGATTGTGTAAGCGCAAAAAGAAATTTCTGATTGAATTTGGGTGTTGAAAACCTGCTATCTCATAATAGAGGACTTTCCTCTATGTAATTTAGAATATCAAGTAATAATAAGTGAAATTGGACCGATATAAATATTAGAGATTGATCAGTTAATTAGAAAAGATTTTTTAGTTCCATTTTTAGTTAAACTGAATCTTGGTAGCCCAAGTCCCAGTCTACAACAGAGATTTAAACTCTAAGCCTTAAAAGAAATTGACCAATTACAGTCGCGTATTCTACTCATACTTGACAGTGATTGGTCAATTTCTTAAAGCTTAGGTGTAGACTGTGACTAATAAATTTACTTATAGTATACAGGGTGTTACTAAATTCATGTTACAACGCTTGAGGGGTGAAAGTACAAATCAAAACAAACATTTTTTACCAATACACATGGGGGCGGAAACGAAACCCCTAACCCGCTGGAACGCGCGAAAAGTTCAGGGTAGGCAACCCGTTGTGCACATTTTCTACTACGCTGGCCGCTACGTTTAAGAACAAATGTTGATCGACGCACAAGCAACGGCGAATCATGTTTTCTTTTATCCTTTGCAACTTGCCTGGGGAAGCTCGTATCTCATCAAACGCTTGGATAATTCTTTCGGTGAGCTCTTCAACGGTTTGCACTGGTCGTAAACCACGGCTTTTAGGAGTCAACGGGTTGCCTACCCTGAACTCATCGCGCGTTCCAACGGGTTAGGGGTTCGTTTCCGCCCCCATGTGTATTGGTAAAAAATGTTTGTTTTGATTTGTACTTTCACCCCTCAAGCGTTGTAACATGAATTTAGTAACACCCTGTATATATTTTTTCCAAACACAGCGCACCGATTATTTGTCGGTTTTAAAAAGATCCAGTCTGACCGAGAGTGGCATCTTCTCCAATTAATTACATAATTTATATCGAGCAGCTATTTATATGTTTTAACGAAAAACTTCCACACACCCGTTAACGAGAGTTGTAAATTTTAGCAACGGCAAGTCCAGCCATCCGCATCGCCTCTTTCGTTTCGTGGTTACACCAATCTCGTGGCCCCTTTTCTGCAACAGTTCTCCCGTGGAGTCTACGAGTTCCGTGGGAAAGGGCCCGTCGCCAACTCTGGTAGTATAAGCCTTCACAACGCCGATAATCTCGCCGATCGTGCTAGGCGGCAAGCCGAGGCCCGTCATTACACCACCTATACTGCAATTCGAACTTGTCACATATGGATAAGTTCCAAAATCAATGTCCAACATCGCCGCATTGGCACCTTCTACCAAAACCTTCTTGCCATCGTTTAAAGCCTGATGCAAATATTGTACCGTTTCTCTCACGTACGGCTTTATACGTTCGGAATACCTGTAATGGAAAAAAAACAATCAGCCATGTATCGTAAACGCTTGAATTTGATGAAAAAGCGTTATACATACACCTTATACCGTTCCAATTCGGCTTTAATGTCGACGTGCAGGGCGGGGAACATTTTCTGGTAGGACGTAACCAAGGTGTTGAACTTCTGAGAGAACTTGTCGAAGTCCCCGAGGAGATCCCCAATCCTGAGTCCATTTCTGGCGGCCTTGCTCGAATACGTCGGCCCTATACCTTTCTTCGTGGTCCCCAACGACTGCGTGCCCTTCTCCTGCTCTTGCAAACCGTCGACCTGTTGGTGAAAATCAAACACTATATGTGCTCGATCTGATATTACAAGCCGGTCCTCCCAATCCTTAAGCCCCTTGGACTCGTTCTTCTCCAATTCCTCGAACAGACCGGGCAAGTGAATCACTACCCCATTGCCTGCAAGCAAAAGAGAGCCCAAATAAATAATACCGGTTGTACAGTTCTCGTGTGCTTAACGGAGAATTATTCAGATAACAATACGAGTCTATATGCCAAGAGACATAGAGTGACCTATAGGAACAAGTGGAATAATATGTCTGTCTTGTGTATCCATGATTTTAGCGTCTCATTTGCATCTCCATGAAACAATTACAGCAAAACCTTGATTTAGCAGACCGATTAGCGGTCTCCGTCGAGAGACCGGAAGTCTATTAAATCAATTTTAAGGGGGCCGTTCTTATCACTTTTTCTTCGTTGTTCTTACTGTAGGCAGCCACACAATGTGAAATTCTCAATTGGCTCTGGTTTCTATGCCGCATTCAAGTTTACTATTTGTCATTTGGTGGTAATTTTGAATTGTAAGGGCTGCAAGATTACTCAAAGTAAAACGAAGCGAAAAAGAAAAGTCAGGAATCACAGAAGCTGTACGTAATCTAACCGCGGGACGCTTTGAGACACGCCGACAACGAGACTGCCGACAACGAGACTGCCGACAAAAACGCGTCTGCTTCACGTCTACTCGAAACAATCGTGATATGAAATGTACGCTTCTTTCCTTGTTCATCCGTTTCGTCCGAAATCCATTAGATCGAGATCCGTTAAATCGAGGTTTCACTGTACTCCACAGTCTTCCAAGAGACATGTTACTTTTCTTGCAAACCAGGAGATCTACAATTCGATTAATTTTACTGGTTGATCTGAGGTCATTACCTATTACGGATTTGCATCTGGGATTGATTATTCCACTAGGCAGAAGGTGAAAGTCGAATTCGGCACCTTCTACAACTACCGTATGCCCTGCATTATTTCCTCCCTGCGAAATTACATTAATACTTGAAGAAATCGGGCGAATCGCCATTACTTATGACGGGGAGCATCGCGTCGCGACTCGTTAATTAATTGTCGAGATCAAGGGTTCAAGATCATAGGCTTTCCCGCCAACGTAAACAGTGGTATTCAAATCCGACACGAGTGCATTTGAAATCCGTTCATCGTATTAGAGAAGAACAAAAAAAAGAGAGGAAAAGAAAAGAAGCATCGAGTACGGTTTTGTACTGGACATGTAAAACGTTTCATCGAACTCTAA